ATAAAGTAGAAAAAGAAAGAGAAAAAGGGAAGTCTGTTGCCAACAGCAGCGCCCGTAAGAGTAAATAAGGCATCCGAGGACGTAAAGGATACTGATTAGGATCTAGAGACATGCCTAGGAGTATTGTAATGGAGCTGGAGAGGGGGAGGGGGAGAGGGAGAGGGGAGGGGCGTGATAGACATTACCACCACCACCACCATTATTGTGGTGGAGTTGGGAAGGGAGAGGCAGGGTGTTCTAGGGTTTTGCTCGCCGGTGGGGAGTAAACCTCTCCGGCCTGTGTTAGTCTTAGATGTTTCTAGGGGTTCCCGTGCAGTAGGAGGGGAAAAGGCTATGATAGATAGTATTGCAATTTTAGAGAGTTTCAATTAGTCATGAATTATGATTGCGGTTGGTTTCATCAATCTATTGCTTTCGATTCAAGTGATGCCAATTTCTGTGCCCTTTGATTTGTCTCATATGATTGTCATAGCTCTAAAAAAACAGAGAACTAGAAATGACGAACCAATGTGCCCTCCCTCCCACCACTCTCCACAGCATATAATACCAGATCCTTGCACTACCCGCCTCCCATCGGGAACCCACATACCCCTCCCCCTCCCCCCGTTCCTCCCTTCATGCAAGATGGAATACCCTGTGCAGAGCGTAACCATACGGTACAATATCACGCTCAATGCGCCGAGAACGCACCGCACGCACATGACCTCGTGCCTTCAGGGCGTGAAGGGGGGGGGGGGGGCACGAGGTGGGGAGATGGGTATGTAAGTGGATGAGGTATTAATTTCTACCTGTGTGTATGTGAGATGGGGGGGTGTGGGAATTGTATTGTATGGGATGAGGTGGGGTGATGTTGGTACGGAAGTACCGTACTGGTAGTGTATTGGAATGGTGGTGAGTGGGAAGGAACTTAGTGTCGGGGGATTGGTTGATCTCTGTCGAGATTGGAGTGCTTGGTGAGTGTCGCCGGGATTCGGTCGAGGGCTTGTGGAATGTTCCTTATCGTGGACTTGTGGGGTTTGTGTTTCTGTAAGAAGTGCAGGGCAATCCTGTGCTATGGTGATGTGATTATGGAAGAAAGTTGATTCTGCCGGGTTCTAAAGTAAGTAAGTAATTCCAGTTCGAGTGTAATATGGAGTCCCGAATATGCTACGCTACGCCGTTTCATGGCATAACGGTGAGGGAGGGGGGAGGGAGGACAGAAGTTCGAGAAGGAAGGAGAAGGGTGACCGCATGGCATGGCATGACAATGAAAATGAGATATCACGGATTGGTTGTACGAGTGTATAGCACAAGTGGTAGTAGCAGTCCCCCGTACTCCCACCACATTTTGTTGAACGTACGCACGGTACAGAAATGTGTGACATCCCACCAGGCCGGCAAGCCCAGCCCAGCCCAACCCGACCCATGACCCAAACACCGGTGCAAGAAAAAAAAAGTAAGTACACATAAAAGTAGTAAAAAAAGTAAAAGCCAGAAAGAAGTAAAAAGAAAGAAAAAAAAGCCATTGGACGTCTGTCCCTTTCTCAGAAAAGAAATTACTAGAACAAACTCTATTTCCCACCCCAAACGCTCCTTCCCCTCACAGCATTCCTTCTCAGAAACACGATCGCCTCTCCACCGACTACCCCATTTCCCCTAACCTCACTCTTTCCTTCGCCTTCACCTTTTCCCTTGTCCCCTGCAACAGCAAGAGGATTCCTAACAGCCCTTCTGCATCTGTAAATCAAGGAATGGATATCCAACTTTGGAGACTCCAGACGTTTCTGACGCCTGGGGAGGCGATATAGAGTTGGGTAGCGGTTGAAGATTACCTTGATTTCGAAGGGGATGGCAGAGTGATCTGTTGTTAGGTATGTTTGCGCTTTTGGGTTCTTCGAGGTGGTAGCAGGGTGTTTAGACCTAGACTTCCGTTTAGAAGTGCGAGGCGGTTTTTTCGGTTTCTGCTGGGCGTTAGTGGAGCGGGAGGGTTTGGTGGGGTATGTCGAGACTATATTTTGAGCTTCAGATAAGGTTGCGTTGGAGTTTGGTTGGTATGGCTTGTCGGAGAGCGGTGGCGGTTGAAGAGAGGCTGGTAAGGATTTGCTAGGAACCGGTTTCGTGGTTTCCATAGGGGGGTTTTCAAGGGATCCCTGAGTTAAGCTTGGTGATTGACCTGAACCCCGGAGGCTGTTCCGTGCAGAACGAGTTCGTTTGGCGGTGGGACCAAGATCAGTTTCTCCGTTGGTAGAATTGGGGGAGCGGAAATCTGGCGACGGGCTGCCGGTGCCATTTTGGTTCAAAGATCTAATGATGGCAACGGAGTTTCCCCCCCAGTTGGTATCTAGTAACCTTTCTATCTCTGTGCGTAGACGTTTGTTGCGCTTCGGGGGTGCGGTGGACTTGATAGCTAGTTTCTGAGCTTCCGGGGCGGTTAGAGGTTTCGCCCCGGGAACTTCTTTTGTGGACGGTAGCTTCTTTTTAATAGCCAGAGGGCCCTCCCCGCCATTTAAGAGAGCAATTGGTTCCTTCCTATACCCCAGCGCAGGCTCTTCCGGACCGGGAGCTACAACTTGCTCTTGCTCCTTGACCCCGATAGTTTCAGGTGTTAAACCTTTGTCTCCCTCGTCATTTGATCTCGGTCGCTCAAGGGAGCATTTTCTTGCGACCCATTCGGTTAGCTTTGGTAGCTTTGCTCTGTAGTACTGCTCTCGCCTGAGTGTTGGGATTGCTTGGGCGTAAGAAGCTTTAAATGCGATACGGACCGCGCTTAAGCGTGAGTGGTAGTCCAGACGGTTTTGCCATGCTATTTCTATGAATTCGTTAGCTTATCAAATTTCAATTGGACTCCCAGTTTTTGTGAGCTTTTTTTACCTTGTGGGTCCTTCATTTTATGCTTGTTTGTTTGCTTATTTGCTTGTGGTCGTCGTGTGGAAAGAGGCGAGTACAGAGGATAAGGCTGGGACGTTTAACCAAAAAACGGTGCGGGATGCCAAGACAACAGGGGCCACCTAACGAATCTGAGGAGCCTCACCTTATTCCAACGCCGGAGATGTCGTGTCTTTTATAATTGATTTAGGTCCTTCGCTCATTTTCTTCCCCTACTCAACTACCACCAACGATACAGCGGACCACCCTACCCTCGCCCCCCCCGTACCCCTCCCCTCATACAACAAGGATATACATTCTGATCCGCCGAAATCTTAACCATGGCAAACTTCTTCCAGTCCCCTCCCCCACAACAGCAGCCACACTATGGCGGTGGTGGTGCTCCTAACAATCTCCAGTTCTACCCATCGTCGTATTCAAGCCAGACGCAATCCCCACAGGGTTATGGCTTCGGTGGCATGGGCAGTATTCAGCCCGGCGGTGCCGTCGGTAGCGGCTCGCGGGAGCACGGGTTGACGAAGGGGTGGCTGGCGGCCTTTGGGACAAGCGGGTATGATGATGAGCCTCCGCTGCTGGAGGAGCTGGGGGTGAACTTTGGACACATCAAGATGAAGGTTCTTACCACTCTACTCGACAGGGGATTTCGGGAGTATTTTACTGACCGTGATAAGACATTAATGGTGTTGAACCCTATGGCTAGCGTAGATCAGCACATGATGGACGATAGTGATGTCGCGGGGCCAATATTATTCTACCTGCTTTTCGGAGCTTTCTTATTGCTGGTGCTTATACCTCCCACCTCCTCCTATTATGCTTGGATGAGATGGAAGCTTACTTCCGATGCGTGAGCAGTCCGGGAAAGTCCACTTTGGCTACATTTACGGTGTCGCCCTCCTGGGCAGCATCTCGCTTCACCTCATCCTAAACTTAATGTCACCGCCCACAACTAGTTTGAACTACATCCGCTCCGCTTCAGTGTTAGGCTACTGCCTCCTCCCCCTCGTCTTCACATCAGCACTCGGCATTGGCTACAACATGAACGGCTTCATTGGCTACATCCTTAGCGCCGCCGCAATCGGGTGGTGTACCTATTCAGCCAGCAATATGTTCATCGCAGTCCTCCGAGTAAGAGATATGCGGCTCCTCGTTGCATACCCATTGGGGCTTTTCTATAGTGTTTTCGGCATCATGGCGATTTTCGGCGGGAGAGGCGGCACGCCTCCTCTCGCTTAGATTGGAGGCTTGGGCCGGCTGGGCGCGTTTCTTTAGTTGATTTATGCGATGGCTTGCGGCGGAAGCAAACGCATTTATATCAGAATATTATATTTCTTCCCTTTTTTCATACTTCTCCTTTATCATCCTGGGTTGGGTAAACGGGAATACAACAAAGCTTTCATTGAAAGAAAAAAAGCAGATAACGATAACACTCATTGACACCGGAGCGCCCGGGAGGAGTCTATAGACATGAAGTATCACTCGTTTGCACTTTTGCTGACCACGGGGTCGGGAGCACAGCAAATTAGGTGTCTAACGATAGATGGGACGGGTATGTTTCTTTGCTCAATATATGTATTTGTATAGTGTAATGGATAACCCTGTATCGCCTGATACTGTATTGTACAAACCTTCTTCTATCCATCCATCCATACATTCAACATTGAACTTTCCTCCCCCAATAGACCTCGCAGGTCTCAAGTGGGCGCATAATCACCAGACACATTTATATTCCCCCATATTGCTCGACGTGCTTCAAAGGACCGCACTCCCCATAGTATGTCCCACCTGCACGCCAGCCCAGGACGTTCCCCAGCCTTTTTCTTCCCCCCTTATAACAGGGGGACATGAAACGAGCTATCCAACAATGAGTATGGCAAAGATGTTTTCGAGGCTTTACCGGGCTATTGCGTCTTTGCGGGGACTCTGTTTGCGGTAGCGCTGTGCATCAGGAGTTGGTCCTTTCTCAGAATCGAGGAAGGGATAGCAAATGTACTATCTGTTCTGTGGAATGTGAAATTAGTCTTTTAGTTTTATTATACTCCATTGATCCCCCCCTCGTAGCAGTCGGCGCCTTGGGACAATGGATAATGGAAGATGAACTCTGGTATCATTCATTGGGCCCGAAGGGTTTTGCGCATCTGAAATTATACGTAGACCCTTTTCACCCACTATACATCTACTGTATGTTCCCAGAAAGCGAATAATATCATACGTGATATGACCAGAGTCGGGATTGAACTGTGAGGGATTCCCGAGCTCTTTTGACACGGCGGAGGGGGGGGGGGATAGCCCTTAATGAAGGATTCGGATTCAAGAGGATCACGAAGCGTGGATTACTCCTTATAATACACTCGAAGGGGGGAATGGGTTAAAAGGAACACTGTAGGTCTTCCTATTCAAGTGCACGGTATCGCATCCCCACCGTGAGAAACCAGGATCCAAAAAAAAGGGTTCTAGAATAGATTTTTTCTTCTCTTTTGAAGAATTTTATCTTTCCAGAACCACAGATGGTATGACAATATGACACCATAGGTGGATCTGGGATTCCATTGACGAGTGATTTCCAATGAACATTTTTTTGGCGTTCGGTGGCGCTTCTGCGGAGGACGATAAGTACTACAGATTTCACGAAAAAGGCTTATGGTAGTTGTGGATAGGCGGGCCCTCGGTCTCCACGCAAGGGTTTTCAGTTCTCCACTTTGGTTTTGAAAAGGCAGGATATGAATTCTTATCCAATGCCAAGTTTTAGGGAACCAAGGGGAATTGTGTGTGCAGGTTCTTTTAGCTTTAGCTCGACTGGCAAGGCACTGGCGGTTTCGCACGGGAAGGGTTAGGAGTTGGACTCCACGCTGGGGGGTGGTGGAAGTACTTGAGTATCCTGCACCCCCGCAAAAAAAACAAACAAGCGAGAACCTCCCCTTTTGCGTACTGTCGAGCGAGCATTTCGCCCCGGTTGCTGGCCCGCGGAGTTTCTTCTGGGAAGGCTTTGGAAAGGATGGATGAGGATTGTTCGTGCTATCTAGAGCGTGTACTGTACTGTACAAGTATCATACCAGGCTGCAGCTTTTCAATGGATTATAAGGCTCCACAACCTAAAATATTGATTCAAAAAAAACAAAAAAACCTCGGTTAGGTTGTTAGGAACGCTGATGAAAATGATGTGGGGTTTTCTTTCTTTCTTTTGGGGTAATGGGGGGATCGTAATGATGGGATATAATCGATTTAAATGTTACAGCCCAGTGATGCACGTTTCGTATGGCACGAGCCATAACAGGACACTAACAATTGAGGGAAAACTCGCATTCTACCGTACGCTTCGGTGAGATTAGGTACGTGCAACAGTACGATGCACAACCTGTGAGTGCACGCAGCAGCAGCATAGAATGGGAGCAGCATTGAGTATCACAAGTGCTGGAGTGAAAAGTGTGGGTGCTGGGTCTAGACTTATTTACTCTGGTCGGGCCAGCAGCTAATCAACGATGCATAGAACCTTTCGCTGTAACTGTATGGTACCCGGGACGTCTGAATAGCGAGAGCTCCCCATAGTTCCTAGTTACGATCCTTATCAAGTTTTGCGAGGGTGGTATGATAAATAATAAGTTACAGGACAACCCTCGATCCATGGAACTCCCTCATCCAACTCTACGGGATACGCAATCGACCCTGTCCGTATGATACCAAAAGGACTTCTGGCGAAGCCGTTTCCCACGGTGCGAGATGGGCACGGGTGTGTGTGTGTTGTTCACGGTATGATATGTATTATGATATAATTCCCAACTGCACGAAGCACAAGCCAGGTTAAGCCCCCCCCCCCATACAAACTGGCTCTTGGCAAAACAACAACTCGAGCTCAAAGTGGAAAATCCTTTCCCTATCCTAGAAGTTGAATAATTGTCGGACAACAGCCTAAGCAACTATATGGAGAGTCGTAGCTGCATCGAGCAGTTTAGCCTGATCGTTGTAGATTTGGACGGCCCCAGCTTCCAGCAAACGGCAGCCTGCCGGTAAATTCCTCGAAATATTTGCTCAGCTAAAAGCGCCGTTTGACTTGAGAAGACGTAGTTCTCAAGCTCGATATTTCATGAACATGAACGGCGGTATCATATTCTTACGAACAAAAGTCGAAGCCTGGCGGCAAACGGTCGATGGTGGTGGTGGAAAGTGGTAGCTCTATTTTCTTGCCTGAACGGAGATATGGCCTCTATCTAGATTCCAATGTGGGAAGCGATCCTTTGCGCGTTCATCGCTTGAAGGGAAATTTTACCTATCATACCTACTTCGCCTCAGTGGGTGATATTTGTGTTCACCGCTTGAAAGAAAAGTTCCCTTCGAAGCCTGATGACTATTGTAATGGCTGCTAATGTTACAAGCATACAGAGAAAGAAGACCAAAAGAAGTCGATTAGGATATCTAGTATCGTCAGATTTCCTCCCCATTCGTGCGGTGGGGGACCTTTAACTCCCGTGATAACAAACAACGCTGGTATCGTTATCGCGTCCGCTGCTCTTTGACTCCCGGGCCTTCCGTGCGCAAAGCACCGCCCCCCCCACATATCCCCGCACGGGATCAGCGAAACGACGACCGAGCAAGACAAAACAAAGCAAAACAAAGAAACCCCCTTTCAGACTCCCGTGCCAACCTATAATACTATACCTTTGGAGAGAACGACGATACTAACATCCCGGTAATAAGATTTTGAATTGCAATTCGGGGTACATTGGTCTACCAGAATCAATTTGCGTAATTCACAATACACTACGACAGCCCGCAGAAGCCTCTTCATCATATCATACTTGCACCAGCCTACCGTAACCCACCGACCGATAACGAAAAGCCTCCGCACAACATTTGTGGTCTGATCAAGGTTAAGCTCCCGCGGCGCTGTCCTTGTAAGGCTACCCCGCCAAAGTTTTCTATTTTTGGCCACACAACGTGGAGTTTTGGTGTGGTGTGGTATCATAGCTGTTGCTATTGGGATGGTGTGGGGTTGCTGTCGGGTTTGTGCGAAGGTTGTGGAAACGGTGAAAGTGGGCTAGGGTAAAAGATAAACCTCTTGGGGGGGCGGGATTCCGGTTGGCCAAAGTTTCAGGTGTTCTGGAAGGTCGCTTGTTTTGACGGGGGAACGTACATACCGTGTGGTGGGATGGGGTGCGGTATATTTGAATTCTGAAAATGTCGGCGCGGTTTTGACCGAAGCGCTCGAGCGCCGGTGGATAAGTCGCTTGCTTTGGAGTTTTGGCGTTTCTTGCGGGGGAGTACTCGGGTGGTGACTATGATGTCGAGTGACCGAGTGTGAATTTACACTGTATAAGTGAGGGGGGGGGGGCTGCCTCTGCGCTATCCGAGCTGTCCCCCGGAAGCGCGGAAGTGAGCGCTGGGATACCATTCCTTGTCTTTCGCTATCGGCTGATTCTTTCCCCTGGAAAAAACCGGATAGCGATTGTCGTGGATTATCCTGGTGGTGGGCTGAGACGGGCAATGCATGTTTGGCGAGAATTTTCAGTGGCTGGTTAAGGAATAAAGCAATCATAATATCATACTTGGTTACTTGATGCGAGGGTTTTCTGGATTAGTTATGTTCAAAAGAAGGGTCGATTGATAGATCAAGTAGAAGCAGTGCAGAGTTGTCTCTTTCACATCCTAGAATAACGCATAAGTCCATCGAAATAAAGATGAGAAAGATAAAAGGTGAAAAAGAGGGAATCCCGAACCAAAGATGAAATCTCGGACATGCAACATGCAACTGTGCCATGACCATCCCAAAACCTATTCTCCTCCATAAAGGAAAATATTTACAAGGAAAGTGAAGAATCATATCATAACCTTTTTTCTTCTTCTCCCATCAGAGCTTCATAACCTTGAACTACTAGCAACAACAGAACCCTTACTAGCCCTCTTAAGCCTCCCCACAAGTCTCCTCGCCCGACTGGCAAACACCCACCGAACTCCCATCCCCCCATAAAATGCCATCATGAATAGCGTCGTCTCCCCGACCCCATTCCTCCCGGCTTTTCCCCCTCCCTCCAACAGCATCCTAACAATATCCTGATGGCCCCGCCTCGCAGCGACAACCAGTGTCGTATCCCCAACAACCCCATCCACATCGACGCCCTTTTCCAAAAACTTTCTCACAACATCCCCATGCCCCGCCTCCGCCGCTACCAACAAAGCCGTTTGCCCCTCCCAATTCACCATCTCCCCGTGGGCTCCGCTCGATAGCAAAATCTCCACAACCTCCACAAACCCCTGTACAGCGGCCCAGTGCAGCGGCGTCTCGCCCTTCCCAACCCGAAGGTTCACGTCCGCTCCGTACTCTATCAAGGCCCGAACGATCCCCGCGTACCCGTACTTGACAGCCCACGAAAGGGGAGTTTCCCCGGCCACACTGCGAAGGTTCGGATCCGCACCCTCCTGCAGCAGCACCCTCGCCACGTTCTCGCGCCCGTACTGGACAGCAAAGTGCAGAGGTGTTTCCCCGTTGATGTCAAAGATATCCGGCTTCGCGCCGTGGTCCAAGAGAATGTACAGCGTCAGTGCGTCGTTCATTTTGCATGCCGCGTGGAGGCATGTTGCGCCGGTTTTATCTTGGTAGTTTATGTTGAATTCCCCGCTGCGGTTTTTTGGTTGGAGG